TTTTTTTAAATGGAAACAACCACTGATTATTCGCTTATTAAATTCGTTATTTTTTTCTGATTACAAAAATATAGGGTTCGACAGGTCTATTTCTTATTGTTTTAGAATAAAGTTAAAAATAAACTTTTTTTTTTTAGTGTCGTCAAAGAAATAAAATTTACAGTTTCCTGTAAATTACGGTACTATAACTAAAAATTATTCTACTAAAAATTTATATAAAATTTACTTTATTTTCTAATATGTAACATTCTAACATGTTAAACTTTTCGTAATTTTCGTAATCCATCTTAAAAAACAGGATTTTTTTATTTGACACTTCAGAAAATTTAAAAAAAATATATATATGAGCGCCATCTATCAATAATTAATTAAGTCATTTAATAATAATATTAAAAATTAATAAAAAATGTGAAATAATGCAATCTATTCCAACTTTTGTGTAAAACAAATATAAATTAAATAGTTCAACAACTGTATTTGTTTCAAATATCAAAAATATTTTTTTTTAATTTTTAGTTATAATTTACAGGAAACTGTAAATTTAATTTCTTTAACGTCACTAAAAAAAAGTTTATTTTTAGCTTTATTTTAAAACAATAAGAAATAAACCTATATAACCCCATATTTTTGTAATCAGAAAAAAATAACGAATTTAATAAGCGAATAATAGTGGTTGTTTTCATTTAAAAAAACGAAAATTGTCATGATATCTCAAAATCTAAACACAAAAAAATTTTCTTGACTACGTCATCAAATTCTCCATAAAAAAGTGTCCATATAATGTCTTAGTTATAATACTTCACCTATAATAATAACCAAGATAATTGCACTTGCTGGTTTTACGATATTTTCAATTTTGGCCTCTAGGGGAAAAACAAAAGACGATAGCGCTTTGAGGTTTTCGGCATTAGCAGTTTCTCGAAAAACGAGATCATGACATGTAAGATGTAAGCTACTTTTTTTCTAACTGTTATAGTTTCGGAGATAGCCTATTCGGACATCGAATTTGAACCACCCTGTACATAAAAATTATAAATAGTTTGTAATAATGTTCTACGGCGGAAAGACCTATATACAAATATAGGTCCATAGCCGAATAAAGATATATTCTCTCTAAAGTTTTCCAAGGAATTGTTTTTCCCATGAAAAATGTGTGTATCTCAAGAACAAAACGTGATATTCAAAAATTGACAGTTTCATTGAAAAGTTGATGATTTTATTATTAATTAATGAAAATTTTATGAAGCTTTTCCAAAAAATCGATTTTTGCATCACAAACTTAGTTAGAAATTATATTTTATTACAGAGGCAAGGATACTAGAGCTTCATTCGCCGGATGCGGTCCACAGCTGTGTGCTGAGAGCTTCAGATCCAGGCGAAGCTGCCGCTTGGTTTAACACGTTACATTCCGCATTGGCCATTTTAACCACAGCGGCTTTACATGAAGCGTCCAGAGCAATACCGGATCTTCGTCACATAGGCTGGTTATTAAGAAGACCCAGATCAGAGGTAAATCATTAATTCAAAAAGAAAAAAACGCCCATATCCAATCAATAGATGGCGCTGTTTATTTTTTTTTATCTATGAGAATTCTGTGTAGCTATTTTCAAATGTCACCCATTTGGGTGGCTGTTTATGGATGCGAACCTGTGCGTTTTCAATTGCAGCATCTGTCGCCGTATGCGATACGGTCCCACGTTGGCATATTTACAGTTAACGGCGCCCCCGCTCGTTAAGCGATGGAATCAGTCCCGGATTTATTAGAACGCTTTTAATCACAAACGTACCGGACTAACGAAAACAACAATAACGAGCCTACACCCATTTCGCAAACAATAAATATGTCATAACGGAATTTATTGAATAAATAGAACTCAATAAAACTATTTTATTTAAAAAGAATCGTAATCTACGTGAAAAATCCTTCAAAATGAGTCCAAACACGACATTATTATCTGATTGAAACGCGATCGTTTTAAAGTTAATGAGTTAATGAAAAGTAGAGGGGTTTAGAGTAATTTTTTTGTGGATTTTTAGATTTTATTAATTTTTAGAATAATATGTCAAGTTCTGAAAGTTCCGATGATATGGATAGATGGCATTCCATTTTTGCGGCGGTAACCGACAGCGAATTGAGATTATACGAAAGCGCTCCATGGTCAGGTGAAGCTTGGAAAGCCCCAGCAGAAGCTTACCCCCTTATAGCAACTCGACTGGTTGGATCAATCGGGAAAAGAGCCGAGCTTCCGGAATTTAGTATACGCTGCGCGACTTCCGATGGCGTTATTACTCACAATTTGCGAGCTGAAACCCACAGGGATCTTGCTGGATGGGCGAAAGCTCTCGTCAATGGAAGTCATGCAAGTGCTGTTACACAGAGGGAGCTTATGTGTAGTAAGAAATTTTTTATTAAACTAAGATTAGAACTAAAACTAGAAACTTTCGGGTTTTGCCGTGCGTCTTTTAATAAAAGGTTTGACGTTTCGCAACCTTCTTCAGAAACTGGTTCGAAGTGACGAGATCAAAAAATCGGTAACTATATATAAGTCGGAAAAACTAATTAATAACTAATTGCGTCGCGTCCGGTGTGAGGCGGGAAGAGGTCTTCGTGTTCACCACCATCTTCCATGTTCTGCTAAGCTCCCAG